GTTGATAAGAATAATAATAATTCTATCAGAATTTTTTATTCTTTTATATCATTTATAAGTAAAATTACAATTCATAACTGATTCTGCTAGTTCTAATCAACTGTTCAAAGCAATAAGAAGTAATTTCAAAATATTTTTTGCTAAAAATATTTTTAAAATGGCAAAATTTTTTCAGTACATTCAGAAATATTACTATTAGAGAATTAATTTCCTTGATTTTTTACTAGCAGCAATAAACTACATTTGGTTTCATCGTTCTGTCATACATTTTAAATATAAATTAATGCAAGCAATTTCAGCAATAATTAATTTACAATTAATCGAAATCTCTTTAGAAAAGAGTAAATTTAACTTTTTCTAAAATGAAAAGTACTAAACCTCAAGAACGATTATAAAAAAGGGATGAAAAGAAAGCTTTTTATTAGCTGTTCGTTAATATAATGAATAAATTAGCTTGAAAATCAAGCATGCTCGAATGAAAAACATAAAAGTGATACTTAATTAGTGGAAATTTTAAAAAGCCTAAAATGAAATCATTTTGAATGCATAAAAATTGCTGAAATGAAGTGAAAGCAATGCAATGAACTGATCAAATTAGTATTGAAGTTTATCAGCTTTGATTGCAAAGAATTATTATGCAAGTAAGCATCGCAGTACAGTGCAGTTACAGTGCAATAATAATTTACCATGACTTTTCAGTTAAAAACAGACAAAAAGGTCAAGGGGTATGCAACGATCAACTTGGATACAATTGCAATTGTCTTGAGAATAATATCTATCTGCTCGCATATGTACTGTGAATTGAATATTTGAATGGAAGTGATGGCGAAGAATACACTTTAAATTGTTTATTTTTATCTTTTATTCTTATTTCTACGATTTTCAAATTGTGTGATCATCAATTATGAATTTTTAATTGCGAAGTGGTCCAAACTAACTAACAATTAATCTTCCATCATATTCTGTTCTGTTTGAACGCTTTGAATTTACTGCGAATATTTTTGCTGCTTTCATTTTTTTCGTATTTATTAACAACTAATCATAATAATATTATTATTGCTGAAATAAATATTTGCAATACTTTTTTTACTTTATGTTATTACTTTCCATTTTTTTAGGAATTTTTTGCAAGTAAAATATATTATATACATTGTAAGTTCAAAATGAAATGCCATCTTCCATTTGCATGCGCATTGGTTTTAAGCTTTATTGCAATCACAATTCATTTATCACAAATTCAGAGTAATTACAGTTAAAGATGAAAATACATTTTTGGAATAAGATTTAAATTAAAACTTTTAAACTCTATATGAATAGTTTTGCTGCTAAATGAATTATTATCACTATTACTATTACTATTGTTATTATTATTACTATTGCTATTAATATTATCATTAGTAATATTATATTACTGCGGACATTTAAAATGTTAAAAAATGATTATTATGGCAGTTTTGGGAGTTGTCAAGCAAATACTTTACTATAATTTATGTACAACACAATGAAAAATAAGAAGTAATTTTTACAGTAAGAGTACTACTTATTATTATTATCTGTTAGAAACTGCATGTGCCATGTTCAAAAGTGCCATTTCCCAAACAAATGAAAGTATTAATAAATACTTCAAAACAATGGAAATAACATGACAAAAGAGATCACACATTGACCAAACTTTCAGTATCCAATTGAGCAATGGAAAATCACGTAGTAAGTAAGAATTTATGTAATGCAATGTAATGACATTTAATCCGGGAAGTAGCAGTATTTTCTGCTGCACAATTCTTAGCCTGCAATATTTTGTACAGAAAAAGGAATCTGAGGAATTCAGACTGCAAGAATTGAATTTCAGGATTAAAGAAAGTATTTATGTATTTATCTTACCGCCATGTCGAACGCCATCTGATCGGAAGAACGCACTCACTAAGCCTTCACTGATGAATAAGCTGCACGAGAGCAGTGAAAATATCTGGAATTAATATTTTACAGCAATTTTTCATAAACTTTAATTATAGCCTGCTTTCTACTCAACTGTTTTATAATATGTATAATTTGCTCGCCAAGCTATCAGCAAAATTTTGACGAAATAGAGTTGATAACGAAAATTTGGAAAATATCAATCATACATATATGTATCAAAAAATAACAAGTCAAAAGCATACTTTAACAAGTCAAAAGTCAAAAGTCAAAGATAGCAAGTCAAAAGCGTACTTTTGATTAATTTTATTTAAAGGCAAAATTTTTTTGGAATAAATACTTCAGAGGTAATTTACTTGTTCTGTGCGTGTAAAGTGTAAAAATTTAGCAATTTTATTTTTACTACTGAGAAAAATGCACATGTAATGTACATTGATCTTATTATTTAATACTTGTTGTGATCAGTTCGTACTGTTTTATTAAGTATTTTGAGCAAATAAATTCAGTACTTATATTAGTAAACTAAAAGATCTGCTTAGTTCAAAAATATTATCAAATGCAATTCATATAGTCAGTAAGAAATTGACGTGCAAACGTACACCAGCTAAAGCCCAACCACTGATTCCACATTGTGTATCAAAATAGGATTCAACCGAAGTGTAATCCCTACGTAAGATGTCGGCTCGGTAGAAATCATTGATCCACGGACATGTACTATAATGCATTTCAAGACCGAAAACAAATAACGAAAATGGTACTGCGCAGAAGGAATAGCACATACACTGAAAATACCAAAATAAACATTTTTTCAAATTTAATTTCAAACTTTTACCTTTTATTTATAAACAGTATTTAGAGTTTTTTGATTGTCTCCATGACTTAAATTTTCACTTTAAAGACTAAATTTATTAATCGTTTAAAAATTTAAATAAAAAAGCTACTATAATATTCTGTTATCTCTGAATAATTATTTATTCAGTATTATCATATAATTCATTATCTTCACAATTATCATTATTTTTGGTAAAAAATTATTATGACAATAATGGTAATAGTATTGAAGAGCAAATGACAAAAATTTGATCATCAGCTAAATACTACAAGGATAATTTGTATTTCATCTTACATGTACAAAAAATGTTTTGTCAAACATTAAGTTGAATTAATTTGAATAAATATAAACAATACATCCAAACTTTTTTCAGAAATATTACTTTTTTGCTTAAAAATTGTAACTATTAAATGATAATGCATTGTTTTATGAGTAAGTAAAAAAGTTCACATTAACTATGTAATGATAATTAATCAACGAATATGGATTTATTTTCAAAATCGAAATTGAATAGAATAACAGATTCTTGAAAATTAAGCTTTCTAAATTTCCCTCATCTCGAGACTTGCAAAGGAATAAAATTTGGTGTATATTCTGACTAATGCTCGTATGTAGATTCAAAACAAATCCTTGCAAGCTCAAAGTGTACTTGACCTCACTATGAGATTTGATAATTATATCCTCCATATGGCATTCTCTAAATTATTCACTCGTCTTAGAATCCTTTTATTTTCTTCTCCTTCCTTCAAAATTTATAGTCTTAAAAGTACTTACTTAGTGCTAATTATATTAGGCCACTGAGATATTACTTGTGTCATAAGCACGTATACTTATTATCCATCTTCTTTTTGAAATAAAATTTAGATGCATTTTGTTTATTCCTTTAAGAAGCAATTTAAAATCATAGAATTATTCTCTTTAATCTTTTGATGAATTAAAAGTGACATATTTTAAATAAACAAATTCATTATTCATTTTCTTTTATGCAAATTTTATGCTCGAGTCTAAAAAGAAATTGAAAAATTAATCTAAATAAATTTTGTATAAATAACAACTAATTGTAATAATAATGGTACTACAATAATATCTAAAATAATGCGTCACATCAAATTTATAAAATTTAAATATTTATCTCTTTGTTAATGAAACAATTTTTTGAACTTTAAGCATACTAACTTTAAGAAATGTAACTTATGAAATTACTTTTTTAATAATTTTGCTCTCAGTTTAAATTAAATAGAAGTAATTTTAAATAAGTACTTAAAATTGTCAAAAAAAAGTCACCAGTAGACGAGAATATTTGCAGCAATATAATTGTACGATATGCAGAAATATGGTGATTATTAATATTACAGTAGTAATTGCTGTAGCAAAGTATTGACCACTCAATCGCATTTCAGCAAAGGTCAGGGGTAATTTTGAGTAAACATTGTAATACCATTTATCAGGTGTTAACATCAGTGAACGTTTTCCGCCTAAATCTGAGTAGTACTGTCCAACGCCACTCACAATTAATCCATCGATTGTGAACAATAATATCTGCACATTTATTTTCATAAAAATAATCATAACTAATTTTTATATGATTAAAGTTCAAAGTTTACTGAAATGATTTTTACGCATTTTATCTGTTTTACTTTGTCGATGACAAAAGTATTTTTTATGGCAGTAATAATGGGTAATTCTTTTTATATGATTATCATCGCTAAAAATTGCTTACTGCAATATTACCACGCCAATAACCTATAAATTCTTGTTCTGAAGTTCAAAAAAAACATAAAAAGTAATTTTACACAAAAATGGATAATATCAATCAATTTGATCCAACAAATTAAAATAAATAATAGTTCGTTGCGAAGAAATTTTCAATAATTTTTTTCATGAGAAAGCGAAATCTTTAGGGAATCAAATTGACATATACGTTAGGAAAGTCAAACTTTTCCCATGACAACGGAACGAAAAATGCTCTTACATTTGACAATAATTTATTCTGATTTCCACCTTTTGACTTCAATATTACATAATGATTGCATGCATATATGGCTTTATCTTTGTCCATATTTGGCTTTTATTTAGCATAGTTTGAGGTAGGTTTAGTGTTAGATTGCATTACACTATGAAAAGATGAAAATGCAATTTCTATTTAATATTTTAATAAGCATTACTTATTACTATGCAACTGCAAAGTATTATTATTGCGTTGCACGTTTAATTACGTGAGTTGGAAGTAGCATCTAATTATGCTAAACACAGGAAACAACATTTCAATCATGCATTACTTAATATGCTCGGTAAAGCGTAGAAATAAATTTTCGATAAAATCAAACAATTTTGCTTATTTGTAGCAAAATTAATACTTACCAAATTAATAGTTCTCAGAACAATAACTATTCGATTGCTATTTACATCGGTTTGTCGTCGATATTCTACTTCAGATTCTAACGCTTGTGCAACCAAAATTAGTCTAAATTAATTTTGCTAATTACTCAACAAATTCATCCAATTTAGCCTCCAAAGCAAATACATTAATAGCATATTACTTTGTTTGTTTATTTGTTTTTTATTTTTCTGAAAGAAAATGTAACAGAGAGAATACAACACGCCTATTCAACGTTCCCGTGGAGAAACGTCGATCAGGACCGATCTTGGGAATAGTATGACTTGACGTAGTTGTGGTAGTTCGTCCGGACTCTTTATAATTTCTAATCAGTTTGCACATATCCAATGCACGTTCAGGTGATATCGGCAAAAACTGTTCTTTCTGAGACAAAGAAAATTCATTAAATTTATAACAGTAAAAAGAAACCTAAATTAAAAATATATTCAATAACTTGATTTGAAATTTGAAAAAAATCAAAAAAACGAAGTTTAAAATAAAACAACAGTGTGTACAAGAAAAAAATAATTATAATATTCTAAGCGTTATAAAAAGATTCATAAATTGTTTTGCATCTCAAATATTTCCCACAGTTTTTCAGTATAATTAGTACTTTTACTAATTATTAGAGGATTTTTCATACTATTATGTAGAATGAAATATAGTATTGCTAACATAAATGGATCTTTTAATTACGTGAAAATACTTAGTACGCAAAAAATAGGCTACGTGTTAGCTTCAATTTCAGTCCTAATTCTGTAGCATAAATATAGAAAACAGTTTAGGGGAAAAAATAGACATGCATATTTTTCAAAATTTTTTACAACTGTTTTTTGTCAGTAATTGCAAAATTGCAAATTGCTCAGATTTGCTTTCTTTTTAAAACTAAACATCTCTAAAGTAATATTCTTCTAGTAAAATTCAATTAAAAAATTATAAAAATAACAGTTTTCAAATTACTCATTTTTTAAACATTTCCTTTGTAACTTGCAGT